TTCCTGAGTTTCCCTTGGCATGCGCTAGCTAGAGAAAGGAAAAAAACCTTCACCTCATCTAGATTTCTCCACAATTAAAATAAATCTGTGAAACAAAACAGCTTCCCAGGACCACATAAGCCCATGACCACCATCTCTTCTTAATTCAGGCAAAAACCCCTCCAATTTCTGCAGTTTTATGTTACAGCTAGACTCTGTTTAATAATGGCAGATTCCTCCACAGTCAATAAAATGAATTGCCAGATGCCTGGAGCTTAAGAGGCAAACAAGGGCAAAGTAGAAGACCTTGTAATTTTATGTTGGAGAGACAGATGTTTCCACGCGGTTTTCATTGCTGTTGTCTGATGGTTGCTTCTTTTTAAGTGGAGTCAGAACTAGAGAAATTCAGTCAGGGAACAAGGTGCATGATTTTAACCAGTGATTATGCATTCAGTTTAAATTTTGACCTTGAACAGTGGATTGTGGTCAGTATTGTGTAGTTACTTGCTATCTGTGATCCTCTCCTAGGCAGTAAGCACAAAGTGAGGGTCTCCTGCATGCAGAACTATTCCAGAGAGGAGTGAGTGCCTGTCACTGCAGTGACTTTAGCTGGGAATGCCATGGCTAATGAGTGGGTGTTTCTGTTGACTGTGCCCATCATTTTCCATGTTCAACCAATGTGACTCTTCGACTTTTTGAATGGTTAAGCATGTACCACCAGCTCTTCCTCTGAATTCAGCCTCTTTTGTTGCGGGGGTGATTCAGGCACTGCTGGTTTCAGGAGTAATTCAAAATTTGAAACTCGTCAGTATCGCTTTCAGTTCAGGATTGCTACAATATGCATTTCTGGAAAATGTGTTGAGTTCAATATGCGAGAGTTCCAGGTCTTTTCCCCAAACCTGTGTTGCTAGCATTTGGCCAATGGCATTGACGTGACCTTTGTTTTAGGCAGAATTTTAAACAAGTTCGGAGTTAACTCTGGTCTTCCTGAAGTCTGTGATAAAGTTCCAAAATGACAAAGGGACATCTAGATAGTCACTCTTCAGCTGCGACTACAGCAACTCCCTTCCCAGTGAAGCAGGAGAGAGCACCTCTCCTGGAAGCAGCTCCAGCTGTGTGTAGAGAAATATGGCATTTGCACAAGCTGATGTTGGTCTATGAGCCCTTTACTTTGGAATAAATTACGTTTTAAAGTTAATCCTCCGCTCTGTATTCTCTCCATGAGCCCTTTCATAAATGGTACCCAAAGCTGTTGATGCATTTGGTGCAGGTGGTTCCACGTCCCTGCGAGCAGCTTGGAGTGCTCAGGCAGCAGTGGGTTGTATTTCAAAGATGTATTTCACTCAGTTTGGGTTTTAGCCACGTTCAATATCGCCTTGTGAGGTATTAGATAAAAACCACGTCTCAGTCCTACTGAAGATTGTGGTTTCTGATGGAGGAAGCACTGATAAGCTTATAATCCATGGAATAGTTATTGCTACTATAAAATTAATCCAGCCAACCTACCATATTCAGAGAGTTTAATGACTGGAATTCTTTTTGTTAAACAGGCAAAATATTCTTCAACCCTCCCTCCACAAGCCAGTCTTTATTCTGAATGTGTCTAACGGTCAGAGGCATTTGTAATCCAGATTTCCCTTTTTTTTTAGTTTTTGTTTTGCATTTTCCAATTGAGTGTACAGTTTCATATACATAATTACTATGACTTAGGTTAGACTTTATCCTATTGATTTTGGGGTTTCAGAAACTGGAGCCAATCTCAAGCTCTCTAAAAACAACATAATGATGCTTTCCAGTGAAATACTTCTGCAAAACCTTTTCTTTCAGTGAATAGCCAATGGTCTTCCCTCATAATGAAAATAAATTTATTTTGCAGAATCCTCCAATGCTACTTTGTTGACCAATGCAGAAAAAATTGCTACAATTACAACCACACATACTCCTCAGCAAATACCACAGGAGACCAGGTCAGATTGTTTTCCTCGAGGAGAGCGTGTTGGCATGCTCTCTCTCTGGTTACTTCTTGATCATCTTCACATCCCATGAGCCATATTTTTCCTCTCTCCCTCTTTCTCTTATTTTTTACAGCAGGAGCAACACCAAACCAAAGCAGGAGTCCCAGTTTGATTTCAAACCACCCCAAGCAGCACAGGTAAGGAGTACCTTTTTAATTGTTTTGATTACCACAGACTGTTGCTTCCAATCTGCCTGAGGGCTGTATTCAAATATTTCCCTTGAAAATTCCAGCTGGGAAGCTCTTTTCCCTCAGCCTGTTTGCTGAAGAAAGAGGAATTTGCTGATTAGTTTCTTAACGTGCGTTGCTGTTGTTTCAGCTGAGAAACATTTCCATCACGTCCTCATCAAGAGTTCTAGGGAGGAAAAAAGGAATAAAAAAAAAAGCTGACACCTTTACAACAGTAATAATTTCTGTGTTTGTTTATTGAATTGTGTATTGCATAGACTCATCCCAGGTACCATTAGGGATTTCAGCGAAGCCCGTCAGTGAGATTCCCTGTTGCTAGAACCTTAACCACCCTTCAGAAATGAGCTTTTCTGCCCTGATTGCTGGAGTTGGTGTGTAGCAGAGGTGCCTAAAACTGCCGTGGGCACGGCCAAGCCCAGTCGTTCAAGCAGGCTTCTGCAGACCACCACCAGAGCTCCAGATTGCAGAGTAGAATCTGAGGAAGCTTGAAGCCCTAGCCTGTGTGTGAAAACTCAGCTGATTTTCTTTTTGTAGTTCTGAGTATCAAAAATAGTAGCGTTTGTTGGTTGAATAATTTCTAAACGAGCAGCATTTAACTTTCTGTTGAATTGTGTATATGTTGTCTGCCCTCCAGCAGGACCAAGATTTTTACACTGTTGAGCTGGAAAGAGGAGCCAAAGGGTTTGGCTTTAGCCTGCGAGGTGGCCGGGAGTATAATATGGATCTGTACGTGTTGCGGCTAGCTGAGGATGGTCCAGCCGAGAGATGTGGGAAGATGAGGGTATGCACAAACAGATTTATAAAACACATTTTTTTGCAATAAGCTGACTTCCCTGCCTCTCCCTTAGAGGCATACCTTCTGCTGTGCCAGCTAAAAGGAAAATTAAATGTTAACTGAAAGGAGCAGTGGTTCCTATTCTGTCAATGGCTTCTGTCACTCTTTGTATACAGTCTGTGTGTCCAACCCAGGTTTCCAAATTCTAATATGTAGTCTGACTTCTAAAGCCTAACAAAAATATATGTAGCAATTGGGGTTTCCCATCTGATCCTGTCCTCTGCTAGTGGGCAGAGCAGGTGTATTGGCTCATGGGTTACAAAATTGTAATTTAGGTTTTGATTAGCATTAGCTGTTGATTTCACATATCAGCTGAATTATGAACATTATAACAAGGGCATATGTTATTAAATGCTTAACAGAAAAGTTAAATTGCCAAGTTTTATCTACTCCTTGCTCCTCTGTTAAAGAGTGCATTGTAGCTTTACCACGTACATCTTTTTCTTCTCTGGAGGTATCATGCAAATGGCATTTTCAAAATTCTTTTGCTAGGGGTAGATTTGTAGGTGCAGAAAACAAAAAGAAAGAGGTGCTGATGAAAATAAATCAGTGCTGCGCTGTGGAAGTCGGTACTTTGACAAGCTCTTCCAAGCCTTGTTTTCCTGTCTTAATAAATGATTATATTTACAAAAACAGCTTTGCTGGTTCATAGGAGGTATCTATATTCAAGTGAGAAACAGACCTGAAATAGTTATTTGAACATCCCGGTTACAGTCAACGATAGAACAAAAAAAAACAACTTTGACCAAGGACTTTATAAAAATATCACCGGTTCTGACACAACTCTAGCTGTTGAGCAGTACAGTAATGCAATGAGGTTTTACAGAACAGCAATGAAATATTTTGATACCTCAAGCTTTCCCTGTCGTCTCCATGTCTCCCAGCTCCCCCCGCATGCTGTTTTCATGGACTGTTGCTGGAAGGAGTTGAGGATATTTGGCTTCACTTGGTGCGCAGTTGTTCTTCCACCCTTGCTGTGGCTGTTTTCTTGTGGTCTGCTCGCTGTGACCCTCGTGGGGGCTTGTTTCTAATCTGAGATTATTTTCTTTTATTATGTTTACAGATTGGTGATGAAATCTTAGAGATCAATGGAGAAACTACCAAGAACATGAAGCATGCTCGGGCCATCGAACTGATTAAAAATGGTGGCCGCAGGGTCCGCCTGTTTCTGAAACGTGGAGATGGCTCTGTCCCAGAATATGGTGGGTCAAACTATGAAAACATTCCTTTCTTCCCTGGCATCACTCCATGAATGATCTGTCTCAAGATCTGAAGCGGGAATTCTTTTTTATTTTCCTTTCTCACCAGTGTCTTACCAACCTTTGCAACATATGGTTAATTGCCTCGCTTGTGCTGAATTTTCTACACATTTCATCCTTTGCTTGCTTCCATGGACTTGGGGCGCAGTGTAAGGCAAGATCATCATAGCAGTATTTTTGGTGATCAGAGAGGAAAACAAAACAAAACAAAACCTTATTGTCTTGTCCAGCCAAACAAGGAATGTCACTGAACTGTGCCAAACTGTTTCTCAGCAGCTGAATTGTCGTTTCAAATAGGTCTCTTCTTCTAATCAATGCAAAACCTGGGATCCTGAGTTACTATTCTGAAGCAGTTATTTTTTTTTGTTAGGTTTTTCTCTCAGTTCCTGTCTGTATCCATAGACATGAATGCCAAGATGGCTTAAGAGATTTTTTGCCTTCCCTTAATATTTATGTAAATATTTATAAAGTTATTTAAGAAAAAGAAGAGAGAAAAAAAATCTTTACTGCAAAAATATATTGATTTGGCCTCCTGAGCCCTTTTCTCCCCCCTTTAAACTGTCTGCTGGTTTCAACTAGTTAATTTTTAAGGTCTGAAAAGGTGAGGAGGTTTTGAAAAGGTGCTCTCGTGTCTGTCTTGGGGGAAACATTCAGTCCTTGTTTCTTACTAAGAATTGCATTAGATTTCCTTTTCTTCCCCCGGAGGTTGGATTGCTGGGTGGCTTAACTTAGCACACTATTTAATATTATAATTATGTCTTATTTATTTGAGATAATTGTCAAATATTGTGCCCTCGATGGAGGGCTACTCCCAACCAAAGGTTTTTGAGGTTTCTATAGAAACTGATGATTGAAGGGATGTCCTTTGTACTTTTCTCCCCGTATTTGGGTTATTTCTGTGTCAGTAAGTTCTGTGTTTATCATTCCCTCCGTGTCCTAAAACCAGAAACAAAGCCCTTCTGCACAATTTATGAACTAGATTTTCTTTTCATTTACTGTACCACGTTTGCGAGTTTCTGCTCACTCTGCTCGTTCTTTAACTTAAAAATGACCAATTCCGAGTATAACCAACAAACAATTGAAGTGTTTAACAATGTGGAAGGGAGGTTGTGGGTTTACTCTTCTGTAATATAAATAGCACACCGGAAGGTTCGATGATGGCACTGAAATTCTGTAATGCTCTTTCTACTTTTGTCTTTTCCTATTCTCCTTTGGATGTACAGTACTGTATCATATGCTAGACTGCATAAATACCCTGTAAATTAAGTGCTTCACTTCTCAAAGCATATGTCTGTTGCACTGAGGATGGAAATCCGCCACCAATTTTCTTTTGGTTAATGCTAATCCACTAAACGTTCATTCTCTGAGCAAGGATTTAATATACAGGGGTTGCACTACTGTAAAGAATATCCTTGTAACATTTGGGACTCCTTCCTCTCTTCGTTCTGTTCGCTGCAGTCGCAAATGGTTCCTCTAATAATGTTAAGTTCCAATATTTTTCTGACTCGATTGGAACGTGCTTCTCTATGAGGCTGTATATTTTTGTAATGAGTTTTGTACTTATTTTTAATGTTGTGGTCTCTGGTGGACTTTATTTTTCGTTGTTGTTTGATTGTTAATGTTTTTTCTATGACATTCTGTGTCGCTGTTCCAGCTGTCTTTTAGAATGGATGCTCTCGTTGTCTGGGTTATTGAATCACCTCTTAGATGTCTCTTTATGTCACGATAATAACAACTGCTGTCTTTGCAGCCTTATATTTGGGTGAAGCCTAGACAATCTGACTGGAAAAATAAACTTTCTTTATTCTAAGATAAAATATGAAGATTTTTCTTTCTTTCATCTTTGTTATAGGGAATCTAAATTTTCTACTTTTCTCTTTCTCTTTCTCTTACTTTTTCTTGGTGCTGGGCTCTTCCTTCCTCAGCGATGATACCTCCTAATATCGCTGCATGTATGAGAAATGACAAGCTCGGGGAGTCTTGCTTCTACCTTATGGGCCATAATCAAACTACGGTTTGTAGCTAAAATCAATATTAGGTGTTTTTGTGCTGTGGCCTAATTCCCTCACATTGCTTTCCGCTTCGCTATATTTTATATGTACAGCAAATTCATTCCGAGCACCCTGCGTCCCCTGAATTCTAACACACCACGGGACACACGTTTAAACCTCGTTTGTACCTTGCGCGATAGCCAGGTTGCCGCAAGCCCACGTGCTTACAGCTACGGAAAAGCAGTGTGTTCCCCCAGCTGCTGCCTGAAAAACAAAAAAAAAAGCTGATAAGCAAAAACGTACACACATGAGTTGCAACATGGGTTGGGTTCCACCTGGAAGTCACAAAATTCACGGCCCACGCACACACCGACCCTCCCAAGCGAAGGGGTAGAAGGGGTAGAAATGCCATCGAATGGGCGTGCTGGCAGGAGGGATGCGCATGTAGAGTGTTTGGCTTGGGGGAGGGAAGAAAAAAAGGAGAAAAACAGAGTAAAAAAAAAAATTGTCCCCACAAGTGGTCATGAGGGGTTTCAATCGTTGCCATCAGGACAATCCACCTCGAGGTGGGTGTCTGGGTGTGAGCAGCTGGAAGCATAGCTAAGGCCAGCCCAGCTGCAGTGCAGAAGTTGCTTTAAAAAAGGAAACAGTAAGGGAGTAAAAACAATGCTCGCATTAAGGCAGTGCAGCTACTTTAATATTTGCCATGTCTATAATGAATCATTCATAAACATCCACGACAAATGACGTGAGTAATTGTAGCTTAGCTACAGCGCAGCGCTGGGTTCTAGTTCGAGGGCTTTTCTTCTGCTTTGCAGTTTGTCTCACAGAGGTAGCTCAGTTGTTTTTTACCCGAAATACTACCTTTAAAATAACGAACTGGAGATTAGATTTTACTCAAAGCCATCCCATGTATTACAGTATCTTTCCATTGCTTTGATATGAAAAAAACCCATAACTTCTGTCATCATTGTTGGAATCATTGTGGCAAAACCAAAATCTACCCTAGGACTTTACGTAACTTGGTAGAACTGAGATTAAGTAATGTGCTATAAGAAATAGAAATTGCATGTTTACAGCCTAATTCTCACACCTTCAAAATGTTATTTTACAAGGTGAAAACTCAATAATCAATTCTACTTTGTGTACATTTTCTGCTATTTGAAACAAGGCCTCCCACACCTGGAAGGCAGTTCTTTCAAAAGACTTAAAAAAATAAAAATCGTTTCCTAAAGGCCCTCTTTATTGGAAACTGTTAAAAAAAAAACCAGCCAATAGCCTGAACTACATTTTTTTTTTTCCGCTGGAAAGAAAGTAGTGTAATCAAAATATTACAAATTGGGCTTGGGGAAAATGTAAATTGCCCTGTGGCCAGAAGAACATAAAGATGATACCAGCTTGGAGCAAAAACACGGCTCGTGAACAGAGCAGCACCAGTACTAACCCGTAACTCTTGTTGGTCGCAGTTAAGTTAACAAAAGCTTCGGTTAGCCTTCGCTGACTGCTTTCCCAGTTGTTTGTTTTTGTCACTAATGAAGTCTGAAGAGTGCTAAGTGGTGTCACGGCGCCGCGGAAGCCACGGGTACCAAACGCTGTGCTGTTATTTTCTTGCAGACCCCAGCAGTGACAGGAACAGTCCCGCCACAGGTTCACAAAATGTATCGGAAATGACAGCCGCACCATCCGACCGACGGCAGCACCCATCATCGGAGTCCAGTTATCCACCAGACCTTCACAAATCATCACAGCATGGGGACAAGCGGACTTACGTTAGAGACCTAAAAGGCAGCAGAGAGTTTAGCAGACATCCCAACGAACACCACACTTGGAACGGGACTTCTAAAACCAACGACCACGTGCCAGGCAGGAGGACGGAGAGGTCGCCGGAGAGGAGGCACGAGAGGCAGCCGGAGAGGGCAGTGGTGAACGGCCAGTAGAGGAGGTCTCCCGAAAAGCGCAGGGAAGGGACGAGGAGCGCCGACAACACTTTGGAGAGGCGGGAGCGACACGAGAGGAGGAGAGACCTCTCTCCCGAGAAGCGCCGGGAGCGGTCGCCCGGCCGGCGCCGACGCTC